ATCATCGCAGTGAGAGAGCGTGCACCGCGTGGGCGAGTTCAGGGATGGAAGGGTTAAATGTACAACAGATAGCTTAACAAACATTGAAAATTACCGGAATGGTGCACCGTTGAAGAGGAGTTTTGAGCGCTAGAAACACATATTCACAAGATAAGAGGACAGGGCGGGTACCACTTTTATCTTTCTTGTAGAAGAAAATAGCGTCTCTCATTTCCTCGTGTCTTCATAAGGTGTTTTTTTGTGTGTTTGCTAAAATTCCTGTCAAAGGTAGGTGATGACGAAGAATGCACGCCAGGCGAATTTTCGTTGCTTGCGTTAAATGGGAGAGGCTGTGCATGACGACGATTGTAATTTTTTTATTTTGCTTTACAAATTTTACTGCTGCATGCCTCGTGGCCGATCTCCATGGTGTATAGTGCCAGTCTTTTGGGAATCGTCATCATCATGAGAATCACTTGCACTAACTTGAAACGGCAGAGCCGTGCGCTTAAACGGCTCGCTGTCGGTACGCCTGATTTATTACTAGTTGTTCAGCGAATGATGACTACACAACAATCTAAATTTCATATTTATGTACGTTTGAACAAGGGAGTACTTGCAGACAATTTATAGGTAAATAATGCGACAAATGCATGTGCGACAAATGCATGTGCCGTTTAAGGGGACCACTCACCGTTGTGACGCCTCTTCATTTTTTTGCGCAGTCCTATAGCGTGGGCTGGTCTATATGGCCTTGGAGACACGGAATCACAACTAATAGGCCTGTGTACCCCAAATTCAAGTGTTATTATTAGTAGAACCCGCGGCGTATGCTTAATTTTTGTTTATCCCAAAATCCACAAAGTGAATGACGTTAGAGGAGCTTGTTGTAATCATCCGGTAACACGCTGATCCTCGACACACATTCATCTACCACCATCGTGTAAAGACGTGATAAGATTTCTTGATGGGGAACCTGCACATTTCTGCTTCGCTGGCCCGCAGCTACAAGTTCGCTTGACAGTGAGACCTCTTCGGCCTCTAGGTCTCTCAGCGCGATGTCTCGGTGGCAAGTCCGAGCCGCTGCTGCATTGGCAGTGATTCTGCATCGACTTCAGGGGTGTTCGTGCTAGGGATCGGTAACGAAGGGTGTTTACTGAGTGGCCTCCCAGCGAAGAAGAAGGAAGCGCGCCATACGCGAGTGCTGCATACAGGCGCGGTACTTTAGCGGTCACCTAACTAGATCACGCTGCGCGGAGTGTATGGGCGCCGCTGTCGTGGCTCCTTGGATCGACCACAGCTGCGAGAGAGCACAGTAGCGCCTCTAGTGGAAAGAATGAGAACTAATTTACACGTCGCCTACAACGGACAAGGAGCGAGCATAAGAAGGTTGACCAGCAAGTACCCAAAATATTGCCGTTCCCTCCGTTTTGGAATCGCTATAACACAAAACAGAAATGCATTAAATTAGGTACTTTTTGTTGTGCACAGTTTCAAAAGTATGCATCCACATTGGCATGTCTGCCAGTACTGGTGTTATTGACGCCTCGATGTTTAAATTGCGTAATGCATAATATAAGTAAACAAGTTGTCACGTTAAGATTGAGCGTCCTTTGATAATCAGTCTAGTGGAATAGTGCTCCCAATGGCGGAAACGCCCTGAGCACATCTTATACCTTCGGGTTAAGAGAATGGTTCACAAATACTGAAGCAACGCTGTCGTGAGTGGCATATGTAGGGAAACCAGCAGCATTCAGGTGCATAAGCATACCCTATCGGAAAAAAACGAATGGTGGGCATGGTGTAAACCACCACCCACCATTATAGTGGATTAATGTAGTGGGTGAATGGTGGGAAACGCCCACCATGGCGCATGGTGGGTATGGTGGGTGCTGCAGTGCCGGCAACACTTGAGCGCAAAAGGACGTCAGAATCACCAGGCCGAGCTGCCACAAAAAATAAAAACGAATTCTATAAAAACGGTATAAAAAACACCCGTCCCGGAAAAAAAAAAACAAGACGCCACGGAGGATCGAACGTGCAACCTGCGGATTCCCTTTTGAAGACGCTAGCAACTGGGCCACACCAACATGACGTTGCTTGTGTGTTAAATACTCAGTTGGCATACAAACTTACGGTTCAACTTGAGTTATGTTTGTCGTGTACACAACATAGACAAGATCTACACCTGCTACTAAAAATTGCACATTTATTAAACACAAGCAGCTGCAGTCTGTAACAATTGCCACTATGTTAATGGCACTAGTGCTATTTTTTTACAATTCACAACTTCAAGAAAAAAAAAACCAAGTGGACTGGAGAGCAGCAACAGTTTACCGGCGGGGTCTGCCAAGTTTAATATCCATTTCGCGCTCGTTCTAAAGGGTGACATCTGCTCACGCTTTATGACGCTTCTAGGCTCATTCCATTGATACGCCCGCCTAATTTATTTGATTGAGTATTGAGATGCTTTTCGCGCAATGTAGAGGGCGGTCGCACCAGCGCAATGCTGTAGCTCTTTCGCTAAAGCAAGAACTACATAACGGCTTGGCCAAAACGAATGCAGTTTGCGGGAAACATTACGCTATCATATTGGTTCACCAAGCATACAAATTGCCACGTCTGAGTTCTCGTACAAAAGCTAGAGAAGTGCCGGCGAGTGCGAGCGGCGGCTGTCGGTGAGAAGACACTTAATTACGTTCTCTGGGAGTGCTTTAATCACGTCGCATCGATGTTTGTTGCTTCTAGAGCGGACACCATACACAATGAAATATACTTCATTTAGGTTAATTGAAGCCATGGCTGGGCTGTCTTGTCATACTTAATCGTCGAAATCGTGTATTCTGAAACCCGGAAGCACGGATAACACAATTGTACGGGCTCGGTTGGTAGGCCTAATCTTTGGTGGAAATCATACCTTCGTCACAAAACAGAGTGGTTGTTCCGTGACCTTTAATGGCATAGTGTTTCTCCCCAGGTGCAAGTTATACAAACTTGGCGGATCGTATGGAAAATTAGACGTAAAGATTCTGTTTATTTCGCTCATCGTTTTCAAATATTTGCCTCAAATAGAAAATATTTTTATATAATCCCTATCGGAAAAATTGCCATGGTGGAAAACATGGTGGGTGTAGTGGAAATAATAGTGGGCATGGTGGAAATTATGGTGGATATGGTGAGACGTTGTGGAAAATATGGTGGATATGCCAGGACATACTGGGTGGTATGGTGTAAAGATGATGGGTAAAGTGGAAATGATGGTGGGCAATAATGGGACACTCTGCCCACCATTGCGATAATGCTGGGAAGACCTAAGCATATGGTGGGTGGTACTTATTATGGTGGGCCACATGGTGTATCAAGCTAAGAAACTCTTCCCACCATTGCGATAATGCTGGGAAGCACTAAGCAGATGATGGGTGCTGCTTGTTATGGTGGGCCACATGGTGTACCAAGCCGAGAAGCTCTGCCCACCATTGCGATAGTGCTGGGAAGCAGTAAGCAGACGGTGGGCGGGCTTATAATGGCGGGCAATATATATAGTGTACCAAGCTGGAATCTGTACAGTACATGTTCTACCACCCTGATTTCCACCAAAGGTTAGGCCTACCGACCGAGCCCGTACAATTGTGTTATCCGTGCTTCCGGGTTTCAGAATACACGATATCGACGATTAAGAATGACAATACAGCGCAGCCAAGGCATCAATTAACCTAAATGAAGCATTTTTCATTGTGTATGGTGTTCGCTCAAGAAGCAACGAACATCGACGCGACGCGATTCAAGCACTCCCAGGGAACGCACGTCTCTTCTGACCGACAATCGCCGGTCGCACTCGCTGGTACTTCTCTAGTTTTGTGCGAAAACTCAGACGTGGCAATTCGTATGCTTGGGGAACCAATATGATAGCGTAATGTTTCCGGCACACTGCATTCGTTTTGGCCAAGCCGTTATGTAGTTGCCTTAGCGAAAGAGCTACAGCATTGCACTAGCACGACCGCCTTCTACATTGCGCGAAAAGCATCCCAATACTCAATCAATTAAATTAGGCGGGCGGGGGTATCTATGGAATGAGCCTAGAAGCGTCATAAAGTGTGAGCAGATGTCGCCCTTTAGAACGAGCGCGAAACTCATATTAAACTTAGCAGACCCCGCCGGTAAACTCTTGCTCCTCCCCAGTCAACTTGTTTTTTTTCTTGCAGTTGTGAATTGTAAAAAAAATAGCACTGGTGCCATTAACACAGTGGCAATCGTTACAGGCAGCAGTTGCTTGTGTTCAATAAATGTGCAATTTTTAGTAGCAGGTGCATATGTCGTCTAGGTCGTGTACACGACAAACATAACTGAGGTTGAACCGTAAGTTTGTATGCCAACTAACTATTTACCGCCCAAGGAACCCCATGTTGGTATGGCGCAGTGGCAGAAACTATAAACAGGCAATAAAGCAAAAAAAAAGGTATGGCGCAGTAGTTTCTCCAAATGACAATCCGCAGGTTCCACGTTCGATCCTCCGCGGCACCTTTTTTTTATGGAACGGGTGTTTTTTTATACCGTTTTTATAAAGTTTTTTTTTGTGGAAACTCGTCATGGTGATTCTGACGCCATTTCGCGCTCAAGCGTTGCCGGCACTGCAGCACCCACCATATCCCACCATGCACCATGCTGGGCAATACCCACCATTCACCCACTACATTAATCCTCTATAATGGTGGAGGGTGGTTTACACCATGCCCACCATTCGTTTTTTTTCCGATAGGGATACTTCTATTTAAATATTTGAAGGTATCAATACTGCAAGTGTAATTATTAATTTTTAAAGAAAGCATATAGATTCACGACAATGTGCCGCAGTTTGTACTGACGTTTGTGTGAAACGTAGTAGAACTGTGAATCGAGTACACTTAATGACGAATGACAACATTCTGATTGAACCGTCAGGGTTGTTGAAGCAAAATATCATCATGAGTACAGTGAATGGCAGTTTATGTTTAAAATTTCTCCTGAATATTTCCTTTTGCCAGAACTTGATAATGACAGCAGGCCACTTAAAATCGGCAAGGATGCATTAGTTAAATGGGTAAGCACTTTGCAATATTGAAGCAAAACGTCTTTTTCTCTGTTTTTGATGCAGCCTATAATATTTTATCGATTCCTGGGATATCTAAAGCATGTTGAATGTACGTGACCGTAATACGCAAATAACTATAAAAGGCGCATGGTTACTTCACATCATGTTTTGGTGACAGCCATTAATTCATTTTGACGCTTGAACTTGAAAAATTTTATAAATATAAGTCTCACAATGAACGAAAGAGAGAAGCATAAATTTACACTAGAACTTCCCATATACAACTTTGTTTATAACTTCTGAGCTCAATCGGTAGTACTACATTTGCTGCTGAGCAGGGTGGCAAGCTTTAAAAACAACTTGCCACAAAACGGGTGAAGCGACCTATCGCTATATGAATACTTCTAGCGGTGTCTTTATCTGCCAGAAACTTCAAAGGTTCTAGGTTAGGGCTAGTTGCTATTGATTCACAACTTATGTAAGCGCTGAAGGTGTGTACGTAAGACGAGTGAAGGACACAGGAGAAGCGCTGCTTTGAACAGAAATTTTATTAGAAGCAAACACCATATATAATTGTGTATCTTCAAGGAAGATAAAAAAGCATGAAAACAATAATGAAGAAAAGAACAATAGGAAAAGATCATGCTATCACTATGTAGAGTTCATTCGCGCCAACGTGTGTCCAAAGCATATGCGCCGGCATGGGTCTAGGTGAAGGCTTGTTAAACATTAGGCTGGTGGCGTCTTCAGAAGTGCTGATCATAACATGCGCACATTATCTCGCCCATCACTGTCGAAAATGTGGGTGTGAACCTTCTTTTTTATAACAACGTGAAACCGTGATGTTATACTGGTACTCGGACATTGACTCTACACAATTTTTATTTACAGATACTGCTGTCTCATGTTTGAGAGATTGCAGGAGTTGTTGAAGTCGATTGCCTTGACAAGTAAGAAACTTCACTTTTTGGTGTGTGCGCATTATGCGTGCCTCGGCACTTCTGCAGACGCTATCGGCGTGATTCCTAATTAGGTCTTCACCTAGACCCATTCAGGTGTGTACGCTCTGGCACGTGTTGGGGTGCATCAACTCTGCATAATGATAGCATGATCTTTTTCACTTGTTAGCTTATTCTTGTCTTGTTCCTATGCATTTTCTTTCTGGAGGCTACACCTATGTAATTGACGTTCCCTTCCAAGAAAATTTCAGTTGAATGTAGCGCTTGCGCTCGTCTCACGTACTTGCCTTTAGCACTTACATAGGGCAAAAATACAGAAACTTTAGGTTCGTGAAACATACCGCGAGGCTGAGGTGTGGGAAATTGATTTATCGGCTGTATAATTTTTGTCCGTTAAATGTTGCCATAAGCTGTAATCAAGATAGAGAAAGGACGTCTGCCCCACACGCGCCTTCCTGCTAGTCTTGCGCGAGAGAGGAGAATGCAGTCCTCTTTGGGAGTAACTACATATATAAGCGGACTCATGCCGCAGGTAAACGATTAGGCGGCCAGAGAGCTAAATTTCACGTAATAAGACGCTTTAAAATATGAGCCTTGCGCTAAACAGTCCCAACTAAACAACTCTTGCTGCGACTCAGACATGAATTCACAGCTGCCTAGTCAAAACAACTACTAATGCTTGTAACCTTCCCTATCATCGTACTCCTGATTTTGGGTGCGCTAATATAAAAAAGTCTCGAGAAGTTGCTATTTGTAATGGTTGTTTTGCACCCACTTGCCCACAGTACAAAAAGTCACAACTTGTTTAGAGTATTCCTGTTTGAGTGCACGGTTGAACTCCTGATGAAACAGCCCCAAAAACGCTTTCTCAAAAGATTTTTAGAAGGGAAGTGTACTTCGCGTTCTCTAGGATTCGAAAATCTTTAGAAAAATAGATTGAAGTATTTGAACCCAAGGTTAATTTAGCAAAGAAACTTTCAATATGCTGGAAATTCACGAGGCTAATAGCTTGAAAGGTTTTTTAAAATGACATCATCTTGTTTTCTCTGATGTCAAGCTTGTCTCCAGATGACTCTCAGTGCCAAGCTGTCAAGTGTGCCTACGCTTCGTAAATGAAATACAGAACGTTTGTTGACACTTTTTTTGTTCTATCCTTCTCCACATTGCATAAAGTATTTTAAATATCTCTTTAAGCACTAGAACTAAGTCAAAAATCTCGAAGTATCCTCCTAAAAATCACTGAACCTTGAGTGAAAACGCAGGCTACATCAATAGAGTGGCGCACACGAGTACTGGAAATGTAAAATAAAAATAAACTGGAAGCGCCACGTTCCACAAGCTTTTGAACGTACTCAGAACCTATAAAATTGCGTATTATGTACACAAAAACGTTTATGATGAGAAGGTAGGCGTGAAATTTGAAGCCTTAACTTTTGGTGGGGTATGCGTTCAGCAGGGGCTGAAAAAATTGCTGATAACTTTCGAATGGTGCAAGGTAACTGAATGATTATTAGTGCTAAAATGATACAATGAACTGAGAGTTTAAAAACATAGAAAGGAAGAAAGAATGGAATATGTTTCAAAACATTACGCCATCTCCCGCTAAAGTGAACCATGTGTAGATGCGTAGCCACGAGCGCTAACGCTCAGGCTGGCGGCGGCGTTGACGTTGGCGCTGAGCGCGGTGTTACGCAGGAGAGACACCTTGGGAGGCGCAAAGCACGCAGTGATGGACAGGTGTTTCTTACTCAAACATGCCAATCACTGCTGATGGGTAATGAGAGACAGAAGACTTCGATTGGACATAGATACCCGCAGTCGATACCCTTGTAGGTAAAGCACACGCTTCAAATTTCGTTGAACAACGCACAGGAACAATCTCCCACTGACACTGGCTTGTAGATGCACTGCCTATGTAAAAGGGTTGGCCACTGAACGGTTGTGTAGCGCAAACAGCCGATTTTAACGCGCTAGCGGTAATGATGATGAGGAGGCTCCTTGGGTCAATGACACCTACCCACTATGGGGGATCGGCCATGAGTCAGGCGGATCATACATACTGAATTTAAGATTAATATTTAGTAAGAGCTGAAATAATTTTGAGATGACTTTTTAATGTAACGTTCATTATGGGTATTTGTAATTTTAACTTGCACTATTTTGTGTAATCTCCCAGAGACTGAAGATATTTTGACTAGGAAGGCTGAATAAAAAATTTTTAGTAGTTGATACACCTGCTAAATCTATTCGAGTCGCATATAAACTCTTCGACAGCTTTGAAAACATTCCTGTTCGAGTTCCCCAGCGCAAAGGCCCCATATGATAGCAGAACGGCTTACGTAACCGGTAGACCACATTGCCACAATCTAATTTTGGTATACGTTTTCTGTGTAAGGAAAAACGTCGGCAGCTGAACAAGAAGTGTTCGATAGTTTCGAGTTCGTTGCAATATCAGCAATAATGGGAAACCTCCAAACCTACTCTGTGCATGTAAAAATTTAGATTTGGAATTCTACAACGCATTCTGGTTATTGCAACTTCAGCTCGTCTGGCTGCACACCATTTCCTGCTCCGAGTGAACTGTAGGTGGAAAAGTCCGGGGATGACTCGAGACTTTGATTAAACACAGGTAGTGCACACTTTCTGAACCTTGCCACAGCAACTAACGCCGTAACAGGAAGGAGGGAAAGAACTGGACCTGTCAGAAAAGCTTTCACCAGAGAGCCTGCAACTTCACTGAGCACAATTTCTTTGTGTCCCGGTGCCCAAATTATTCGCAGGTTTAGCAAAGGATGCGGAACGAGTAATCGAAATAATCTTAGAATATGATTTTCATATGTGGGGTGTAAAGTCCCAAAACCACCATGTCATTATGGGAGACGGCGTAGTGGAGGGCTCCGGAAATTTCGACCACCTGGAGTTCTATAACGTGCACCCGAATCTGAGCGCACGGGCCTACAACTTTTCCACTTCCATCGGGAATGCAGCAGCCGCAGCCGGGATTCAATCCCGCAACCTGTGGATCAACAGCTGAGTACCTTAGTCACTACACCACTGCGGCGGGGCAATATTCTTGGAATATCTGAATCTGTTCAAGCAGTTAGTGCCGAACACAACGACAATAAATCTGCAACTATAGCCACAGAAATAATGGTAAAGAAATATTACGCTGGGCTAATGGGACGGAAATATCATCGTCGGCGTCATTGATTGTGACCTAAAAGACATAACCTTATGCCTGACTGAAAAATCGAGAAAGACACAAGTAAAATAAACAGTGAAAAAAAGGGGTACTTTTACTTAAGCTTTGCCTTTACGAGTTGAACGTGATAGCGATATTCTACTCCCAGTGCGTAGTTAAAACACTTGGTGTATGAAACTCAACCTTGAGGGGGAAAATATTATAAATACAACTTGGCGTCGGATGCTAAACCAGTACTTTCTTAGACGTGCGGCTATATGTGAGTAACGTTATGCCATATGCGCGTTTGATTTATTTTGCTTTTTTCTTGCGTATGGTGCATCTTTTATTTTTGTTGCGTGTGCGCAAGTCATATCACGTGTTTTATGTTGCTGAAAATCTATTATTTGACTACGGGATGATTCTGCGAGAGATTGACAGGGGTCGAAATGTTGATATTTTAGATTTGATTGTTTATCTTGTATTTTGTGCACATACAAACCAGTAGCCTGAAAGTTTAGTTCGTTTTTTTGTTAGGTGCATTGTTTAGGAGAAAAAAAATATTGAACCTATTTGTACAGAGACCAAAGTCGTCTCTTCTCATTTTAAAAAGTCGACAATGATATAAAAACACAAATATTAGCTTCATGAAGATGATTTTTTCTAGTAATTGTATGCGTAACGCAAGGTGAAGCAGTATTGTTTGCAGCTTGTATCCCGAAGCAAAGTGTTTCTGAAAATGTGTCTGAACAGGTGACAATTTTTAAAAGTTGCTTGATTTCAGATTTTTTTCCTCTTAAGCTAAACAAGCTAGTGTTTCATAACCTAGTGACCTATTACAACATATTGTTTACAATATTGCTTGTCAATACCATGGCTTTCTCTCAAACACATAATTTTATAAATGGCCTCAAACTTTCGAATTCTTCGACAGTAAAGCCTAATTAAAATCAATATTTAAAAAACGCCATCTACAATTTTTTTTAATATCTCGTAAAACGTTCTTCACAGACGAGATGCAAAGAGTAATAAAAAAAAACATATTTCATTTGTTTATTTTCAGCGATAATATTAAGGGTGGAAATTCCAGCTTTTCGAGCATGCACTTAGGCAATAAAGGCATGAGAACTCTTGCTGAAAAAATAGGCTTGGGCTTCTGAGTCGTTCGTACAAGACCATACTTGCAGGGAGAACCAGATTAGCACACTGAGAAATAAATTTCTGCCAAGGCGCATTTCTGGTTGGCTTCGTACAGCTTTAAAGCTAGAAGAGCAAGACATAATGACACACTCTAAGGCAGTCCGTACATATTTGCAGACAACGCGATGTAATAAAATGCTCTAACACCAGCAGAAAACCACGGTGAATGAACAATTAGAATCACCTCCCCCTCCATCCCCACTTGAGCTTAGGAATGCATTGAACAAAAGCCACAGTGGGCTCAAAATGCTGCAATTTTTCAGATGACTTACAACAGTGCTTGACACTAACAAAACACGACCATAATTTGTATCAGTAGGTGAGATTGACCAAACGCACCAAGAACATCGGCCTTCAACACGTGGCAAATTATACTTTAAAACAATCTTGAAGTAATGAATGGTCTCTAGGTAATCTCCATTTTCTTAGAGCATTTTGACAATCTTCAGCCATATGGTCTTATACAACATCGTTTCAGATGCCGGCCTAATCAATCCCATGCTTGCGCTCTTAAGGGGGAAAGTGAGGTGTCGTGCTTTGCTTGGCTATACTAAATTATGTTCCGTTAAAATTACAGATTTGTTATTGTTTCCTATACTTGAAACCTTGTGATATGATACAATACCTACAAGAGGGGACGCGCATGATATTTTTGAGCATGCGACCATAGAAGGAAACGCTAACCCGTGTTCAGGTTAAGGAGGCGGCAGCAGCGTTAGTAAATATCATTATTCGTTATCCTTCGGTGGTTCCTCTAGCGAGCCAATTCCCATTCAAGTGTTCTGAGCCAGAACATTTAAATCAGATGACTGTAATAGCTGTCTCATGTAACCGAGACCGCCGAGACACAGAGGTGCCAAAAACTTGGGGGTCTTAAGCTTCGGCTTGAAACGGCAAATGAAGGAGTTTCAGAAGGGCCCTCTTCAAACACCCAATCTCATTAACAAAATCTGCTTTTCTTCAGTAAATATGGTCCTGTTCAAATGACTCGGACGCTCAATACACTCTTTTTTGTAGCCCGTTTTCTCGTGCATTTATCGCTTAAGAGCATGCTTGAAAAGATGGAATTTCCACCCGTGCTATTGTCGCTGCAAATAAAATATTGCAATATGTTTTTGAATTTTCTTTTTCTATCATCTGTGTAGAACATTGTATGAGATTGTAAGAGAAATTGAAGTTGTAGTTTTTTAAAAATTGATTTTTCAATGGGTTTTACTGTCGACGAATTTAAGGTTTGAGGCTATTTATAAAAATATTTGTTTAAGGTACAGCCACGTTGTTAACCGGCGGTATTGTAAACATAATGTTGTAATACGTCACTCAGTTGTAAAGCACTAGCTGGTTTAGCTTAGGCGGAAAAGAGTTTCAAATCAAGCAACCTTTAAAAATTTTCATCTGTTCAGAAATTTCTCCGTAACACTTTGCATCAGCATACAAGCTACAAAGAATGCTGCTTCACTCTTCAATATGCGTACATTTACTAAGAAAAAATAGCTAACATTTGTGTTTTTATTTGTGTTTTTATTGTTGTTAAATTTCAAAAATTACAAGAGACGAAATTGTTCCTTCTGTTCAAATTAAGTTCAATATATTTTTTCTCTAAACTATGCAGTTAATAAAAAATAGGGTCACTTTCAGCCTACTGGGTGGTATGTGCACAAATTATAAATTAAACAATCAAATTTAAAATATCAACTTGTCGACCCGTGTCGATATCTCGTGGAATCACTCTTGGTATGTTTTCTATGATTGCGGACAGAAAAGTTGTGAACTGTTTTTTTTTTCTTTTGAATAGCACAGCGTTACTTTAATTTTTGATTAGCACAGTGTTATTTTCAGCCAAGCAGCAGCGCAGTGCTCAACTCTGTCAAGTGAAGGGTTAAAGTCAAGTGGGGGAGCGTTTGTGAATACGGGGGTTAGAATTTGTTATTATCTATTTGATTTGTATTTTTCCCAAATTCGTAAAACGAGCTCTTTAGGCCTACCGCTTTAAAGTTGTTTGTCTGAGTGGTAATCGAAACCGGGTCGTTTGCGTCGGAAGTGGGTGTTCTACAACACAGCCATGCGTCTGTCTCGGCATGAAAGTGAAAATATTTTAATTGGCTTGCAAATGCAGTGAAAGTAACTTTCGTGCTTTTACAAACATACGTGTCTTTTATACATGCTTATAAATACAATATGAAATATTGCATCAATGTTGCGTGGTACTAGCGTAAATTGCCAGCGGGCCTCAGAACATCTGATTATCGTAATGACTTTATGGTTTAAAACAAGTCACCCACTACAAAAGGCGCATATCTTACTGTGCTTTTTTTTTCTTAAGGCCGCGTAGTAAGTCCAATGCAAGTTCGGAAGGGTTTCATACAAGTGTTTGAAGTGCGCACCAAAGACTGTCGCGCTCAACTCCGAAGTTGAAAGCGAAGCTTGAGACTCTCTTAATTTCTTATTAAAAACAAAACTCGCTAGCAGACGGCGTCGGTGTTGCGAGATGAAAGTGTGGGGGGGGGGGGCATAGAAGAGGACGGGGAGGGGACGCTCATGCGCTATAAGGGCACCACGCCTCACAATAAATTGAGCTCTGATGTAAGATGCTTGGCGTCTAAAGTTTGCGTTTTTGCAGATGGTGACCTACCTTAAAAGGCGTGTCCTCCATAGCTGTAATGAGCGCGGGCCTACTAATTCTATAAAGAAACTCAATCTCAGTTCATCTAGCGGGTATGAGTAAAAAATATTCACTACTGCGATGGCCAGGGCCGTGAAGAAAGGAAGAAGGGAGGGGGGAGGCAGTACACGTAGCTAGTGCGTAATACCAGGTAATTGTGCGATGGTGAAAACTTCTGCTACATATGTTCACAACTTCAGCTACCTAAGAGAGTGAATAAGGTTGAGTGAAAAGCAGGGATGGTAACGAGAAGACAATTTCTGGTTTGCTACCTTGCACTAGAGAAAAAAATGGCCATGAAAATGTAAGGTGGCAAGAAGGAAGGAATAGGAGATCTAAAGAAAAGAAAATAGAAAGTACAGACACAATCAAGCATGAAAATGTCACAGTTATGGACTCAGCTACCTCAAAGGTTAGATCACAATTACAAGCGTTAGTCGTCAGGAATGAGATTTTCCACAATAGGCGTTAACTTGGGTGTATCCACGTCAAACCAGGCTAAAGCTGTCAAAGGCTTTTGCTGACAAAGACATTGCGTAGTCTCTCCTATACCAAAGCTCAATAAACGCCCAACTACCTCTGTGAAGACACGCTTCACTTTTGTGTATACCAAACCCTATGGCGCCGAATCAGCGATTTTTTTTCTTGACCTCAGATATTAAGCCACAAGCTGCTCATCGTCAACCGAGGAGTATATAGACGGCCAGACTTTCCAAAATGTGTTTGCTCTCAGCTAAAGTCCGTGGGAACGGTAAACTACCACCACAATTTAACCTACTTGGACACAGACAGAAACGTAAGTGCCCTTACCATGTGCGGTACAGTAGTGACGTTTTTACAGTTTCCAATGATAGGCTAACAAGTTCATAATGCTAAGAAGCACTCGCTCGTGAATGCACGCAGAATGTAACAGTGCGTTTCGTTTTTTTACACGTAGAAAAGTTTTTAACAATTCACCCGATCGTTAACTGTTCTGAGCTTTATTTTCTTATCGGGTTGCCTGATCGACGAGCATCACAAAAGCCACTTAACTGTTATTCTCGGAGTCAGCTATCTCGCGCGGTAGAAGGCGGATATTTGCAGCTGCGCGCTCAGCATAACACAATTTATGCTTCTATGATGCTGTTAAGGGACATCAGCTTTAAAAAAATCAGTCTTTAAAAATGCAAGGAATGCTTACCAGTCACGTACCAAGGAAATTCTTCAAGTAGAGGCTGCGTGACCAGAGGATACGTGTGTCGTTTACCGTTCGAACTGTAGCACATCCGACCACGAATAAAGGAAGCCAAGTGAGTGCCAGAACCGCTGCGGAATCACTGGTTGCATTCCGCCATAATAGTCCATCGGACCCTCAACAGCAGTAGATAATGTCACAGGGTCGTGACGTGGACGAAGAAAGCAGACTGCACGTCGAATAATAAACTGTTTATGTGGGCCGAACATGTGGCCTCGTAAAAGGAATGCCAGGTATTATCATGACACTGGCACTGATAGCGGTGATCAGAGCGTCGGTCGTTGATAAACTGACAAGCGATACACCGCATCGGCATATATACACATGTCATCCAGCATTCTCGCGTTTCCGCTAGTAGCCACGTAGGTTCCAGGATAATCTTTATTGTTCGCTTAGTGGGCGTAACCTTAACAAAGCGATTAATCACGATCAAAGCGATCTACTACAGTCCTGAAGCTTCTCTAACACTGCCGGTGCTGTTTGGGCGGAGAATTGGTGACTGTGTAACGGGCGTTAGCATGACTTAATGTAATCTGATAATTGATTTATTTGTAGGCCTTAACGTCCCAAATCTACAACATGATTATAACAGACGGCATAGCAGAGAGCTCCGAAATATTCGACCACCTGGGGTTCTCTAACGTGCACCCAAATCCGAGCACATGGGCCCACAGAGTATTCGCCTCCATCGAAAATCCAGCCACTGCAGCTGGGATTCTCTCACGTGACCTGCATGTCAGCAGTCGAGTACTTTAGCCACTAGAGCACCACGGCTAGTCTTGAAGGATTGAGGCAATATGCTAGGAAGACTTGTTGGATAACCCTGCTAAGGTTATCCAACATTAGTGTTGATGAAGTTATAAACAAATAAATGGTTCTAGTTTCATAGCTTGGGCTTTGGTGAACACATCAACAGCCTATTTCCAGGATGATGCTGTCAGCTGCTACGACCAAATCACTTCGGCATTTTCGCCCAGATCTAGCAGAAAAACCACAATTTCTTCGGTAGGAAAGCAAGGCATACTGCGCGGAGAATACGAATTCACCTGATACTGCTGTTCGTCATAGGAGTTATCTCTCTGTAAAGGCATTTAAAAAAAGTTGTTATGGCTATGAAGTTGGTGTCTCTGTAACATAGAAGTTTGCCACAGAGCATGCGTACTCATTAATCGGAAGATACTTGCAACTGCATTGCTGAAGACTTCTTAGAAATGTCAAGTCGGGTGAAAAGTAGCGTCGGCAACTATTGAATGAGTGTAAGAATGATAGGCCATACAAGGCGTGTTACCACGAGAATTGCGTAACTAGCGGGTGGCTCAAAGCAACCAACTTTTTGTTAGATGACTAAGCCATATTTGATCACCAGTTGCCGCCACACGAACGAAGCATGCACCGGCGCGCTACTGTCGCAACGCAGTCTGGTGAGACGGCGTTATACGGGGCCTTGTCGTGCGCGGTCCGGAACTGGGGGCATCGACCATTTAGCGGGTTACACTACGGCAGCCTATGTCTTGTTTTGTTGTACAATAAATGTTTTAATCTTTCTGTCTCCCTCTCTTTGCATGGGCACGTACCAACTTACCGACACATAGTCGTCTCTTCACTGCTTTACGTTAAGATAGTTTTTTTCGTATTGTATGTGTTGAAGCCTGATTTTCACTAGGCGCCCTATATCAGATTCAAACAAGCTGATCCGAGTTCTACAAACCAACAGAAGCTCGAACGAAATCAAAAAAATGCCGCCATATCCACGAAGTGAATGATGATGAGTGGGCGAAGCTCTGGAGGTAAACCTGGTAAACCATGAATCCTCCGTACATTTTGCCCACTCGATTTTATTGCAACGCTCCCCCTAGCGTACGTCGCCGCACTATATCGAACGATGACACGTGCCATATGTGGCATCATTCCTATTTTATAACACCTCGCATCTTTCATAATCAACTACACGTACCGCAGTCTAGTTTATAACATCTTGCATCTTTTGGACGGACGGACGGACGGACGGATGGATGGATGGACGGATGGACGGATGGATGGGTAAACGGATGGATGGACGGACGGACGGACGGACGGACGGACGGATGGACGGATGGATGGATGGATGGATGGATGGATGGATGGACGGACGGACGGATGGACGGATGGATGGACGGACGGACGAATGGACGGATGGATGGATGGACGGATGGATGGATGGACGGACGGACGGACGGATGGACGGATGGATGGATGGATGGATGAATGGATGGATGGATGGATGGACGGACGGACGGATGGACGGATGGACGGATGGATATGGCTGTACCCTTTAGATCGGGCCGTGGCTAGCGTAATACTTAGAACTGAACGAGAGGTGGCTACATACAGGGGACGCACAGCCCACGCCTTAAGGAGCTTCGCTCCTAAAATTATTTCATAGCCCCTACGTTATTGTGTTTGCAAAGTGGTTTTCGCGCACCATGCACCCGTCTACCAACAGCATATTGTAAAATGCAGTAGCAGCAGCAGTGCCTGTTATGTTCTCCTCCCCTACCGAATTTCGGAAGCCCTAATCGTATGGTTACCACATATGTCATTTAGGTATGTGCATCAGTGTAGTGGGGTGCAGGGTGGTGGCAAAAGAAGAGGACATTCGGCTTGTGGCAAGAGGTCTCTGCGGCGCGGTAACTGCATACCTTCGAGCCGACCGTTACGTCGCCTCTGAATAAACCCCTCTTGTAGACGTAAGAGTGGTGGAGGTGCTTGGTATGGCACGTCAGTGTACTAAGGAGCCACAGCTGTTTGGAGTTCGCCGGAGCCGTTGTCTTGCCGGTCTGCCTCCGACAACAATCTTCATGGCCCAATGCGAAGGTCAGAAATCAACCGCCTCAACTACGCACAGGTCTACGCCGGCTGTATCTAGGCATCGCAACATGGTACCCTGCCCGTTCGCGGGAATGGCAGGAGAAGATGAGAACTTGTGTCTAACGCAATACGAAAAGGTGAGCCGGTAGAACAACTGAAACTCTGTCGATCAACTGGATAACGTCGCGTTGTTTCTCATGGACACCGCCCTGTTGTGGTATGAAAACCACGAAAAGTGCTTGATACAACGGGCTGTTTTTGCTCAAGTGCGGAAGAAGTGCTTTGGTGACTCCGATTTCAAAAAGAAAGCGTGGAGCGGACCTTTTCTCAATGAGCTTAGACTCTGGGAGAAACTTGCACTACCTATACAGAGGATGTTTCTAAGCTTTGCATGATTATAAGCCCTCAGATGTCTGAAGAAGACAGGATTAGAACCTTCTTGAAAGACATAGCGGAACACGTTTCCAATTTTCTGATAGGCAGGGATGACCCGACCTCTGTCTCCGACTCCCGACATCACTGCCGTACGTTTGAGATACTGAAGACTCATCGCATTGCCCCGAAATTCGGTAGGCTGGCCAATGTGACAACCGTTGCCAGCGTCGACGTGAGCCCGCCCACCGACATTGCTGCTACTATTCGGGCAACAGTGCGTGAATAGCTGAAGCGACAAGAAGGTTGGGTTGGTGACACCATTCCTTATCCGACTACCAGTCCGCCCCACTACACGACGGCGCCCTTAGCTCCTTTGTCACCATCGGTATGTGTGACAGACATTAACAAAACTAGAACTCCGTGGCCACGTCGTGACTCATTCGCGTCCAACTAGCGATACGGCCAATGCCTTCGTCGCAGCCCCGCCACACACAGTCGGAAAGCCCCCCCCCCCCTCCTCCCTCGGCAAGCTCGTCGCCGACACTTCACTGCTGAGTGGCCTCAGCATTGGTTCGGCGAGCGTCCCCTACCAGTCTGCTACGTCTGTGGCTTTGAAGGCCACATTGCCAGGTATTGAAACTACCGGCAGCCGCCGAACTACGACCGATAGTCGAGATATAACCATCCTGCCGTTACACGAGCACCGACATTCCCGGAAAGCGCAATTTACGAGATCCCAGGACCGCTTTAAAACTAATCTCCGGATTCTGACCGCAGTGTGATACCACCGCCTGCCCTATTGCGCCAACCGATCACCGTCTCCTCGGTGCCGTCACTCCTTGCCTCCTACGGAAAACTAGTCGGCGCGGCCGTTGAAGGTGAGGTCACCGGAGAGTCTTAGATTTCAACAGAAATACCTCCTTTAGCTTCCATGTTTAAAAATAATGTTCAAGTGCTTGTCGATGCCTACCAACAATGCCGTTGGTGGACACAGGTGCAACCGTTTCAGTGATGAGTTTTGTTTTCACTGGCCTCCTTGGACGAAAAGTTATGATTCGTTGGGAGCACCCTGATACGTTTCATAGAGTGAGCGGAGATATGTTACGACCTGTCAGTGTCTGTTTGGCATGACAGAAGTTTGTTGCAAATTTCGCTGTTCTCCCTCATACTACGCATGACGTCATTCTGGGACTTGATTTCTTCAAGCTGTGTGGTGCCACTATACATTGCCACACAGGGGAAATTACAGTAGATTCCGATATTCCAATTGCGTTCATAGAAAAATCGCCGTCAGAAAAGTGCTCTTTGCGTGTCCGTGGACACAACTGTCCCGCCATCGTCTGAAAAATGTGTCCCTGTTGCCTGTTCACCTGCAAGGGAGAAAACATTTGACGCAACTGTGGAGCTCCTTCATCTGAGTTGCATAAACAAGACTGTTTTAATACCCTACTGCACGCTACCGGTCGCGCAAGGGCATAGTGGTTTATGGGTGATCAACTGCTCTGATGAACCTACAGTGCTGCCGGAGTGTCTGAAGCTTGCAGAGATTTGTGAACATAAAGTATTCTCATTTGCTATTCTTGTAGAGAGCAGCGATTCCCTGGATAAAACTCATTGCGGTAATCTGCTCACCAGGAACATCACTTTATGGCTATGGTTGACAAGTGACTCAGAACCAACGTAAACTAATGTCCTGGCGAGTATTCTGCGCAAACATGCTGGTCTTTTTGATTTCACTCAGCATGATCCACCGTCATTTTCTGATTCTCGTATAAAGCACCGAATGGACATGGCATTTTACAGACCTCTCCGACAGAACCATATCGTGTATCGCCTTTGGAACGTGCAGTGATCCATGAAAATGCTTTTGAGATGCTCTAGAAAAATGTAATTCAAAAATCATTGTAGTCCGTGGGCCACTCCAGTACTTTAGTAAAGAAGAAAAATGGGACATGGTGATTTTGTGTTCACTACGGCCATCTCAACGCCATCACTAAATAAGACGTATACACACTCCCGCGGATTGATGCTGCTATCAACTCTCTTTCATCGGCCTCTTACTTTTCGGCTGTGAATTTGAGATGGATTTTAATGCATGAAGAAGACAATAAGAAAACGGCACTTTTCACAACAGATTGACTTTATGAATTTAATATGATGCCGATCGGACTCTGCAACGCACCTGCAACTTTTTAGCGCTTCATAGACAACATTCTGCGTGTATTGAAGTGCCAAGTGTGTATGTGTTAGTTTAGGACTCACTCGCTGGATTTCGTGCCGACCGGTTGCGCCCCCGCGATCTCCGATGGCAGCGCAGCTCTGGGTGACTGGCTTGCCCTACGCCGTCTCCTGACGCTGAAAACAGCTCTCGCTGAGTGGTGCGCCGTCCTCGGACTTCTGCGACTGTGCCCATTTTTCTATCTTCTGCTGACTTTCGTGTGTGGTAGCACCTGCGCCTCTATCTCCTCCTGCTCCTCTCTCTATCTCTATACTTTTAATTCCTATCCTTTTCAATACCTCCTTACCACCATCCCTCGTGAGCTACTTTTGAGGTGTCTTCCCGCTGTAAGATAGTTACTGTGCTCACATTTCTCTTTTTTTCAATTAAGAATTGCCTCCTCCTTATTTGTTATTTGGACGACGTTGTAATCTTCGGGCGCATTTTTTGTGAGCACAACACACGCCTCGATGTCGTGCTGGACTGCCTAAGCAAAGCACGCTTGGTGCTCAACTCAAAGAAATGTCGTTTTGGAGAGGGCCAACCACTCGCCCTTGGACACTCAGTGGACAAAGAAGGCGTACAACCGGATCCGACCAAGATGGCCACAGTGGAGGTGTTTAAGCAAGCTCACTCGGTGAAATAACTGTGCAGCTTTTTGGGGCTTTGTTCATACTTTCGCCGATTTGTTTCTGGCTTTGCCAATATCACGTACCCACTCACGTATCTACTTCATAAAGGTGCGCAGTTTGACAGGACCCCAGAATGCGAGTCCACTTTGACGACAGAGCAAGTTTCTTTTGACGTCTCATCTGATTTTTCGACAATTCAATCCTCTGGCTCCCACTGAACTTCCGACAGACGCTAGCGGTATTGGTGTAGGTGCTGTCCTCGTTCATGGCTTGAATAACCAAGAACACGTCGTTGCACATGCAAGTCTGTCGCTCAGCAAGTCCGAGCGTAACTACACTGTCACAGAGCAAGGATGCTTTGCAGCAGTTCTCGCAGTGCAGCACTTCCGGTCTTACTTGTACGGACGCCCCTTTACCATCGTCACAGACCGTCACTCTCTCTGAAGGTTGGTCAATCTGCGTGATCCTTCAGGTCAGCTTTCGCGCTGGGCACTTCGTCTACAAGAATACGACTTCACGGTTTCCTATGAAAGCGGCGGACGCCATGCTGACGCTGATTGTCTTTCGCGACTACCACTTTCAATGACAGAATGCGACGCGGACAACTTCCACACCCACATCGCTTCACTGGACCAACCATTTGCCAATACCAAGACCTTTAGGATCAGTGAAAAAGGGACAGTACCATACAGCAACTTCTTTCTACCAAACCAAAATTATCGCCTACGCGCTTCTGCATCTGAGACGGGCTAGTTTATTAAAAGAACTACACCAGCACCGGCTTACAATATCATCTGGTGGTTCCAAAAAATCTAAGCATTACCGTCTTGCAGGCTAGGCATGATGACCCAACATCCGGCCCAAAATGCACCATACGACGGAACAATATGTGTTTAGCTGCAACCAGTGTCAACGTCATAAGCGCTCAACAACTGCTCCTTCAGGGAGATCACACTTGGTGCCACCTCCTAGAACTCTATTCGAGGAAGTCGGGAGTGACCTTCCTGGGCATTTTCTCCGGTATTCTGATGGAAATCGCAAGATAACCATTTGCACCGACAATTTAACACGATACTGCGAGACAGTTGCCATACCATCGGCAACTGCAGCCGATGTGTCTTGCTTTATGCTACGTTTTTAATTCTACGACATCGAACTCCCCAGAGTATAATCAGTGACTGTGGGTGGCAATTCACAGCAGACGTGGTGGAAGAAATACTTCGTGTCTGCGCTTCAAGGTTTGGGCACTTTACACCATACCATCCCCAAACGAAAAGTCTAACTGAACGAACAAACAGAACTCTCACGAACATGCTGTCTATATATGTCGCATCAGATCAGAAGGACTGGGACAGTATTCTTCTTTTTATCACTTATGCATTCAACACTGCACAGCATGAAACTACCGGCTACAGTCCTTTCTTTTTTCTATATGCTCGACCACCTCGTGACACCGCAAGTACCATCTTGCTGTGTTTGCACCACCATGACCCTTGCACATCCGAGATCGTCTGTGGTGCAGAAAAAGCCAGACGCCTTGCTTATTTTCACAAGACCGCTCGAAGGCAGATTTTGATCACCGACGCCGACACATGACGTACAATTGCAGCGACCTAGTGTTGCTGTGGACACCAGCTAGAAAATGCGGTTTGGGTGAGAAACTGCTAGTGAACTATGCAGGACCTTTTCTTGTTATAGACTGTATCAGTGATTCAGTTTACCGCATAGCGCATCTCCATTCGAATGGCCGACGGTCTGCAAAAACTGAACTTGCCAATGTTGCGCGTTTGAAGCTATTTATTCCTCGAGAGACTGACTCGCTTAGTAGGCTTCATGTGCCTGGAGGGAAATGTTACCTCATATGTAATTTAGGTATGCGCATTTGTGTAGCGGGGAACAGGGTGATGGCGGAAGAAGAGGACGTTCGGCTTTTGGCAAGAGGTCTCCGGTGCGCGTTCACTGTATACCTTCGAGTCGACCGTTACGTCACCCCTGAATAAGCCCCTCTCATAGACGTAAAATTATATTGGAAGTTAGTGTTGGCCGATTTAAAGCACGTGGACGAGCTAAAGCTGGTCGTGATTACTCAGGATGAGGCCCGAGCTGGAGGAACCCTGATTAAGGATGCTGTAGCTGTCTGTGTGGCAAGCTACTGCTCTAGCGTAGGCACAGATTTGCTGTGCGCCTCACAGAGGCCAAGAGTTTTTAATGCGCAGTGTATACATTGCCCAATCAAAAGTCATATAAGCGCCACACCCTACAGCGTTATAATATTATACATACATGAGGCCATAGCTTGAATGTCTCGAAAGAGAGGATTAAAAATTTGGCCGTAACCGGCGGTGTCGATCTTCCGCAGCATCGGCGTCAACACGCGTGATGGAAAAAATTAATTTCGTGATGACTTCTTATGATTGGGTCATGCATACGTCACAAATTACCAAACTTCATGGCATCATTATGACGTCACGTTACACCACACCTTCACGTCGTCCCATCATATCGTCGCTTGTGAAATGCAAGCCTATCATTGAACCAGTGGAAAACCAGGTGAGATGCATCAAGTTTGCAGAGCCTCTAACCAGCAAGGGTGTAAAGCCGCGTTATGAGCAGACGGCTTTATTGGGCCGACAGGGGCAGATAAATACATCGACTCAGAACAGAAATAACGAGGCTTTCGCCTTCGACTCGCCCTAAGCAAATTCATAAGTGACGCTTAAGATTTTTTTTACTGTTATTCAATGCAACAGGGGAAACATCTGTGATATTTGCTAGCCAAATGTCTTTAAGTGAATGTAAAGCACTCGCATAACCCCGTTCTTAGGAAGATGTGAATTTTGTGTTTGTTTTCCTACGTTTCTCATGTTCATAACGAATACATATGCTGCGTTGATGTCTTCCTTTGTTCTTAACCTAGATTTACTCTGCTAACTTCTCCAGTGATTACCTCGTGCGTAATTGGGGGCGGGCTGTAATAACTACGGGTTAATAAAAGAAACCAGTTCTGGCAACTTAACCACTTTGCAAAACAATTAAATTCACTATACTGTGGGAGTGTATTGATATCAATGATGTTGTTGAGATAATTATGTAAGCTATCATTACTTTCAATACTAATGTAGAGCTCACGATGTGTTGTGCTTGCTGCATTGGCCAGTGAAATAAAAACAGATTATGACTTAGTTCATTCAATAGAATTTTTTAATGCAGTTTTCATTCTTTCGTGTCAGGTTCATCCAATGTACCAAAAGCGTGTGTACCGGTAAGTGCTGTGACGTATTTCATCTCAGTCACTTTTTATTCACGATTCCTTTTTTGTACCCTACAGGCCATGCAAAAAGAGCTTTTATGAATCAAGAACTTGTGTTTCTCCAATATATTCTGCCATCAGTACGAGTCTCTGTTTTCTTTGAATTGCGATTTCACCAGACCAAGGTTATCTGGTTTCTATTGCATTTTATGAGAAGTAAATTTGAGGGCGACCAAAGTGTTGACATGAATGTCCCCTTGCGAGTGCTAGTCTTGTTGCACGCCTTTCGCATTACGTAATTCTATGACACAGTATCTAGAATATCAGCACTTTGGTTTGCACCACTTCAATATGTGCGTAAGTGCGTGTTTTTGGGCTGTTTCATTGTCATTGTAATGTGTAACAGTTTGTTGTTTGTAGTGTGTGACACAACACTATCATTTATGTGATGCATGGAAGTTCTTCATCTCCAGTCCGTGTGTTCTCACAGGGCAGGTGTTGGTCTGGCGACGGTCCTCTAATAAATTAATAGAAACAAAGAAGGCGCTGCTGGTGGAGCACCCCCTGCCCTAAAATTCCGCACTTCCCTCGTGGAAGTGGTGACACGGCTACAAAATGACGCACTTCATTGCGAGAAAAAGAAGTGGCCAGACGCTGGGCAACATATGACCTTGCAGCCCCACGAAATTTATTTACTAGAGCTAGAGTTGAAAATGTTAATACTTTGCAGTCATACTGACTGTGTTGCTGGAATCACATTCGTGGACAGTAGAAGAGATGACACATACAGGTAAAGTGGAGAAACTTCACCTAGGAAGATAAGGCTCCCTTCAGGAGAAATAAGCAATTTATTGCAAACCATAGGAGCAGTTAAGAACATGTGCACGATATCAGCTCGTCCTAATCCGTGAACGAGTCATCTGTCACATTTGATGTTTGATGTAATACCCCACGCTTAACAGCAATGTACAGAACCTTGTTTCGGTAAGCGATTTTGAAACGTTTTTGCTTCGTTGAAGCTGGAAGCAAAGCTGGCGGGAGAGGTGGCGCCTGATATTCGTGTCCATATCCGCACATATGTCTGAGACTTTAGGGCTTCAGGTCCCCTCACCAAAAAAATATGTGGCTTTCAGAACACGCAAGATACGTGCTCATGCTCTATTATGACGATGTATTCATGCATTCCAAAATGATTGTTGAAAATGCAATTTACGGCGTTTAAAGGTTACTTTGCGAGACTTTATCGTATAACACTTTTGCTTGGTATAGACGTGCAACGTAAGAGAGTGCCAGTGAAAAAAAAACTTAAAATACAATTCTTAAATCACTAGCATAGTGACACTTGAACTTTTATAGACCCCGCCAATGCGTGTCAAGCACCAACACGGCGCTTTCTGACGGCTGCTTGGGAAACTCTAGAAAACGCACTGTGCATATATGTCTTTTTATTTTTTCACACTTCCTTTTTGTACCTGGCGCGAAATATGAACTAAGTAATTTTTTCTGGAACGTAATATCAAGTGTCATGTTTTTCCTGCGCAAATTTTAAATATTTGCCGGCAGCCCATCATAATTCGCGCCTTAAGAAGTTATATGCTGAACTTTCATACAAGACACTGTTCTAGACGTGTTATAATATGTTTAATTTACACTGAATGTTTTAAGACCACCGCCACGCACGTCCACTGCGCAATATGTGAAATTACATCTGATGGAGGTATGCGTATTCGCTCGAAGGCCCATTCATAAATTTAAAAGTTATTGTTGGCAGCTGTACGGTGTTCTTCCTTGTTTTTGTACTGCGGGTAATGTATAACACCTGTCTTGTTTCAGCAGTGACATACATTTGCACGCTGAAATTGACAATAACGTTTTTCGTAACAGCAGAACAATCAATATTGTGTGGTTTGATGTGGCAATTTTTTTTGTATTTCGTTTTAAGATATAACGCAAGATAACACTTGTATATGCTGCTAAAGTGCCATAAACGTAAGTTCCTAGCCAAGAAAAGAAACTGGTCTTAAAAGTTTTATACCAGGTATGCAAGCAGGTGTGCTAATTCTGTTTTCAGAGATGCTTTTTATACGGTGAAACGAGAGCAATTTATGGTACGCTTTTCTGTCCATGCTTATATGGGTAAGTTTTTTTTTGACTTGCCACAAGATTAAGACATAAGACTAGAAAGTGAAGTTTTGTTTACGTAAGCAAAAAATTAAGATGATTCCGCAAGTTCGTCTTGTGATTTGTTGCATACAAGCAATTAAACCAGGAAGCATTGGAATCAGCTGAGGTGGACAAAACTGATAATTCTTCAGTTAACCAGCAGTTTCACAATGTCTATATTATATGTACAGATGTAAAATACTTTATATCAACACGCCTATTAAAAATGATGTGTTTTTGGATATAAGAAAAACACTAGCGAACAAGGTGAAAATAATAGTGGGCACGACAGGAATATTAGTGATTAAGGTAGAAACTGTGGGGGTCACAAGGTGTGATGTTTGCAATATTAGAAAAAATGGTAGCAGATGGAGGTGGTGGCAACGAGTTTCGTTTCTTGCTCAAATTGACAAATGATGGGGAAAGCGAAAAATGCGGGCTGATAGTGGCGAATGGTTCGGTTAACAAGCTGGATGACGGTGACATAACAGGAGTATGCTGGATCATGGTGGCATGGTGGAGGTGCGCATGACATTATGTACAATCACTGTCAGTGTTGTTGCTTAACACTCAAATGGACAGAAAAATACATTCACAAGTCAAACAAGCAATACCACTTATTTTGTTTTACAGCGCACTTTTGTTTACTTATACGCCATTAATAAGCGCCTCAAGTCTGCTACAGCATGGCAGCCGTCAATGCTTATATTTTCTAACGAACCTATATCATTTTTACGTTGTGGATGTGTTGCTGTATTATGATATTACAAGCATAGAGGTGTTGCTGTCAACACCGTCAGTAAATGTTTTACATCACCACGCACTTCTTACGGCAAGTTGTTAAAGAAGGCTTTAGAGCTTCGCTATCAGACAAGTTAGCAAAAATTTCCAAAAAAGAAGCATTTGATGTATATTTGACTGCCTTTCTCCAAAGGTAAAGTAAGAGGTTTTGCAGGGTGACTACAAAGGCAAGGGGTAATTAGGTTAAGCAAGAAGAAATAACGGTACACGGTGCATTACTGCTGCAAAGATACAAGCAACTAGTGATCAGAAAACCGCAGAAAAAACTGCACTCCCGAGCCCCTATCCCGGCACCGCCACACGTCTTCGTGCCGCAGTAATGAAGGTACTTGTTCCAGCAAAGGCCGTGTGCCTTTCGAAGGAGTAACTTATTATAGTTACGTAATCTCCCTAGAAGCCACATATTGCGTGACTAGTTTTACGAAAGTTGGGCTAACACACGTCAATTGCCCAATGCTACGTGAATTCGGCCGAAACGTGTTACTTGATTATTACTACGCAACTCCTGCGGGAACGCGCAACCTTACCCGTGGTAAATGTTTTCACTTGACGAGACTAAGTTCACTTGATTCTCATTAGAATATTCTATGTCAGCAATGCTGTGCGATATTACAGCCCGTGACCAATATTATGCGAGTTTGGCGGGAACATATCGCGGGACTATGTTACGTGATTTTGGCAGGAGCATCTCACGCGCAGGGTTAGGTGACTTTTCTGGCAGGAAAATGTCACTTTAATGTGGGTATGTTCTTTCACGCTACGTGAGCAGTGCTACGTGAAGTTCGTAACAGCATGTTGCGGGAGTGTTACGGTATTTCGTCGGCATCATGTCACTTAATAGTTACACGTGTTTTTACCATCCCCTGATGTAAAAACTGACGTGGAGGACTCAGTGGCTTCCTCAAGAACACTTCATTGCTCAGATCATAGGAGTATTTGTAGGCATGGTGAATTGCTAATCGTTTCACTTGCTGGGAAAGGGTTCTGAGAAAGGGGATAACACAAGACACATGCCTTGTGTTAGAGCCCTCTCTCAGCAAAGAAACCAGTTTGTACTGGGCATATGAGCTGTGCATACTTGTTCATGTGCCTCATGTGGTTCGAAATTTTCATTTGAATTTGCCAGCAACATCTTCACATTACTAGTGTTATGTGGTTAAAAATCCCGTTCTGCTCTCTTCTTTATTTCTTTTTCCATCTGCCTCTATTTTTTCTTGGTTTCTCTTTCTACCTGTTGGCTGTTCCTCTTATTTTGCGTCTTTTTCCTCTTTCTGTCAGTTGTTTGTCTCAATATTCTTTGCTCCACGTTTTGGAATTTTTATCTTTGTCTCCCTGTTTATTTGTGTCGTTTGAGTTCTCTGTCCTTCAGTCTCTCTCTTTGTACTCATTTTGTCTTCCATAAAAGTTGCTGCATCTGACGCCGGACAAACCAAGGAGTGAGTTGTAGGATTGAAGCATAGGATGGAGAAAATGAGGAAGAGGGCTCGTGCGAGTTCACGATAATCATAATTTATGTTCGCTCTAGCCTGACCAACGAAAAGGTTAAGCAGCTCCAACCTTTGACGAAGCCTCATATATATGTTGAATTGCCACCAAATATTAATATGAGCACCCGCTAGCATGGGAAACTATCGTCGCTCACTCATTGATATATGTGTCGTGTTAGGTCCGGCCCGTACGTACAGTACAGTCCACTGTTAAAGGCAACACTCGAACGAGTCCCCTTGGTATTACTGACCCCGTAGTGGTAAGTGGATGTGGAAAGACTGCTTGTGCATGGCACTGCTCGGTCGAATTGAGTTGAAATTGTCAACCACAACCATTCTTATGCGATTCAAAGGTACTATGTTTTTGTAATAGAGCGAAATTTAAAGATGCCCTGCACGCAAGTGCTCCCTTTAACAGTGGAGGCATCGGTACATTGGAATACAGATAGGCCCAGAGATAGGTTGATATTTTATGATTATACTGGAGGGCTTATTAATCCCACTAATTTTGAAAAAAAGCGTGATTCAGAAGTATAGTAGTAGTAGTAGCTTTCCAGTAACCATTGCAAATTCTTACTTATGGCTTTTTGTGGGACGTGCCACACAGCTCCAACATCTGTAATGCCTATTGCTTTTTACAGGACTACATAGGAAGCTTTACTTTATCCATTATTCGAAATATTGTCGTTTTGTCTCCATGCCTATGAGCTAATCATGGCGTGATGTATGAAATCTTTGGGAACGCTCAGAGCACTTCGAATGCAACGCTACCCATACGCCGGTAAAATAGGCCTTCAACATCCTGTGATATCCATAATATGCAATGGACAGCACCATCAGGAAGCCTGGCAATGCTCGCACGGCAAAACTTTCTATCTATTTATATTGCCATTATTTATTCACGCGAAGTGTGATCTCATCTACTCTATGAAATAATACAGCGCTAGAGACCGCAAACTCATCGCTAATCACTGCTTGTGTTACATGCGCGCCACAGCCATTTAACTGGTGCTGAGACTGCGCACTGTTTTTTTTTTTACTTGAATTTAAATAGTAGTATACCTGGCGCTCTTGAAACACAGTTCACTAGGAATCTGCTCTTTAGCCGTAGTTCGGATACATTTACAAAATGAGCCCTCTATTTACCAGACTCTTTCAACGCAGCCATGCGGCCGTTCACAAGGGCCTCACAAGGGCCTCACAATGGCATCTCACAAGGGCATCTCACAAGGGCCTCACAATGCTACTGGGGTGGTGTCAAATATTTAATTAATTATCTAAACAGTGACGTATGTATTGAAAGGGAATTGCTAGTATAGTGGGCAAGGTATAAATATTTGGGTATAGCCTAAAGAAATATTGCAATTTTGTGGCGCTCTAACGCTTTATTGATTCCCAACGAATATAGCCGATGATAGGAACATACCAGTTGTTCAATCGTTTGAAGTAACACTCATTATAGCATCATGTCACGGCAATGTCATGTCACGGCAACCTAAATCAAAGATTTTATTCACTAAATTTGTTCGATAAAGCATTAGAGACTGCTGCGTATAACCTAACACGAATTTACGACATTGTTCCATCCTGCATAAATAACGTTAGCAATTAATTTCACACGATGGTCTTTGCCAGCATTTTGATGATTGCAGACACACACACACACACACACACACACACACACACATATATATATATATATATATATATATATATATATATATATATATATATATATATATATATATATATATATATATTATATATATATATATATATATATATATATATATATATATATATATATATATATATATATATGTATATATATATATATATATATATATATATATATATATATATATGCCAGTAGGGACAGCGTGCAAACTAGAAACACTGAATACAGATCTTGAGAAAATACAATTTTTTTCACTTTGTGCAAAAAAAAAATTACCAAGTATAGGTGAAATGTGGCCTCAATGTTCTGAATGGCTTTCTCCGCCATGCGATACCAATGATTATAAAGCAAGTTTTACAAACAATGATAACTTTTGCTAGCTGCCAAAAGCTGAAAAGTAAACAACACTGCAACGCATATCTTTCAAACTTCTCCAAAGAAAATTTTCGAGTGTATACTAACCATTGGCTTTATGTATTCAAAGCACAAAATTGTTCTAACTAAAATAGCGAGAGTAACACCACACTCGCTAAACTGTCTTAATTGTTCGCACTCAAATTACTCTGTAGTTGTGAAAGCTAAACGACACTCACTGATACACTTGGAATAACCTTAAATGTTGCAGATAGTCTGCGTGAAGACCCCAAAATGTCTGGAGTGTACGATGTGTTGTACGCAAACAAAGAATGCTTCATAGCGGCAACAAGACTCTCGAGTAAGTGCAACATGATATATTGACAGTGTAAGATACCTGTTAATATTGCTGTATTTAACAGCTGCATGACTATAATAAAAAGAACTCAAACATTGGAACCACACTGTGGCACTCACTAGTAAGTTGAACCACAAAATGAACAAAAGAAAACCGGTACTCGAGAGCTCAAGTCATTAGTAATACATTTTGAAATAGCAAGAAAAAATTTATTCTTTCACATTGGTTCTACTGTTCACGTTGCTGGTCACTTCCAATCATGGTGCGTCTTTTACAGAGACACATCGTAGGAGTCTCCTCTAGACTGTCTAAAAAAGCTGCTGCGCAGCGAGCCTATTTCAATTTGAAAGTGTTTCACAACGCAACGTTCTAAACCAGAAACCGTTCATCACTGGTCGAGAAAAATGATGCCGTTCCCACGTTGTGCCGGAATCGATGTCATGCGAAGCATGGCGCGCGAATAATTTTTATTTGAGCGATGCGTTACGAAATGTTGCTAAGTATATTCTTACATGTTATACGAACACACATATGTTGAACCGTCACGTGTTTGTTATACCTAGCGAAGTATAAGGTTTTGTAACCAGGCAAATTGGAACATAGTTATTACCAACATCGGATGTGGTAAGCTCATAAGTTGCAATTGTACTTGTTAGTTATGACGGAGACGAGCGCACGTTTTGCGAACCCATATGCATGTGTCGCAGGAGGGTTTATTCACAGTTCTGAAGCAAGCTCATCATCACCGTTATCAGTGAGCACCACTATATATATATATACATATATATAAATATATATCTATAGGGAGTAATATTTCAATGGGCCAGTTAGTCTTTGTGAAGGTATGGGATATGGCACAACGGGAGCGTTGTCAACAAGGATAAATATTATTATTTCCCAACAGTTTCGGGAGGGGTCCTCCCTTCATCAGGGGATGAGTTATACTCATCCCCTGATGAAGGGAGGACCCCTCCCGAAACTGTTGGGAAATAATAATATTTATCCTTGTTGACAACTCTGCCATATCCCATACCTATATATATATATATATATATATATATATATATATATATATATATATATATATATATATATATATATATATAAAAGCTAGAAAAGCCGCAATTCTTAACCCCTGAAGACTTGCTTGGTACACACATGTAATAGGGAGGTAAGGTGCCCACTATATTATAAATCATCGTAACTTTGATGAAGTATAGGGAGGAGGCAATCTTGATGCTATTATTCGTCATTCATCGCGCAGGTGCGGTACCGAGTAGACTCACGTAAAGAGACATTAAGAGCACTTTGTTGTTGCTGTGACTCATTACGACGATGAATTATGTCTCCACCATTTCTAATGGACTGAAGTAATCACTGACGCGATCATTCTTTGCGGAAATCGCATTGTGTGATGCCCGCTTGTCGTTGCGTTGTTTTACAATGTATATCATATGTTTTAACACGCTTGCCTACGTGATGCAAAGTCTTGATAAGACACTATTGCGAAGAAGTTTGAAGCACTAGCACGGCAATATGGTAGTACACTTGAATGCCATGCTGCAGGCACGGTTTCAAATGTTAGGTATTCTTGGATATAATCTACGTTTATTATCTCAGTATGTTTGGCAAAAGCAAATATGGACGACGACGGCAGCGGGCCTAGACACAAAAATTTCTTCTTGTTGTGATCTTATACCAGCCTTTTATATAGTGTGGGGGTTGTACTAAAAGTAATGTTTCATATATTTTTACAAATAGAAAGCGTCATTGTTTTCTTGGATAACGGTAAAAAAGCTTGTTTCCCACAATTTACGGTGTTGCCATCCGTGTCGTCATCGTTAGTTGTAAACGAAAAATCGACATCTTAGGTCTGACCGAAAAATTGAGAATTATGCAAACAGGACAAATAATAAAGAAATATTGGGTCATACGGTGGTTTAAAACCTCGTCGTTTGTGTGGCAAGCGGATGTTCTACGACACAGCCACGCGGCTGCTACTGAACACGGTGAAAAAACTTCCTCGGCCTTGTTGTGCAGTGAATAGTATTTCATGTTTTAGAAACACACGCGCCTTAGTCATAGAAAAATGTTCCCTACTTTTAGATGGGAGCTTTGATACAATCTGTATGGACGCATGATTTGCGGTTCACCTTTGCATAAATTGAGGATTTCTGTGTATGACCCCAAATTTGTAATAATTTTTTTATATTCTAATGATTTATGCACCATTATTGCAGAATTTTCTACCTACCGAGATGTATTGCACTATTACTAGAAAGCAAAGAAATCAATACATTTGACTTTATTGTTACCATGAACCAGAAGTAGCGATTAAGGGACTATTAAGACACTAGACCTTATATGTAGATGACAAAATACCATTACTTGGCCTATTCATGGGAGCCATGCACGCAAACTTGATGTTCTTGTACAGTTGTCGTCCTATTATCAAAAAGGAGTATTTAGAGAATCCAAGCACAAAGAGAAAGAAATAATTTGTATACTAGCTGAAATATTAAATTCGAAGCTCAGCTTTTTATTTATTTTCGTTATTATTAAAGTTTCATTTTAACCCGCGCCCTTCGCCATCGTGGCACCATACGAAATTACACCTATGTAACATATTACTCTTTTGTTCACCAAACTGGAAGTGTGAAAAAAACGCAAACACGAAGCAAAAAGGAGGCGCACAGAACGAGAGTTCATGCTGTGTGCCTCCTCTTGCTTCATGTGTGTTCCTCCGGTGCTCCTATAGGTCGCTGAACAATTAGGAATTACCAACTAGCCCACCTTTCTCTCCTGTTGTATTCTATCTTATCCATTGCAATGAAAGGGACAATTTACATGCTTGAGTACTTTAACGATGCCTTCATCTTCACTCTCTTTTTGAGTGAGAAGGTCGTACAGCAATGTTCATAACAGCTTTGTCACAATGGGTACAGGCTCTAAGTCATGCGTTTACATTTCTTTGCAGGAAATGCTGCTTGCTTGCTGTGGCGAAAACCACATGCGAGAGAAATAAATCGAAATCTGTGCAGAGCCGCCTTCAAGAAGTTTTGTACCAAACACGGATCATATACGTTTGTATTCACCACAGACGCCTGCCTTAAAAAGAGGAATCTTAAGACAAAAGTATCTTTGCCTGGAGCCCAAGGTCTGAGCTGAATAAAGCATGTTTACTGCAACTGTCACGATAATGGTTACAAAGCAGAAGGAGTATACGAGCCTCGTCGGGTGTTAAGAGAACCATTTACGCATACTGCTTCATCTTAAACTAAATTCTAGCATAGTGCATAGTCATGCGATGACAAGAGATGAAGCAGCATAGGAAAAGAAGCGCTTGAGTTCGTTTGATACTTCATAAACTTTCTTCGTCTGTTTCTGGGATATGCTAGGTGGTTGTTTGGTGATGTTAAAGTACAAAATCGGCAGTACATTAAATAAAGATTACATTTTATGTTGGTTGTGTCGATACCATCAATTATCACGAAACACGCTGCGCAGTTCTCGAAGATCTGCTGCCTGGGCCGTACGTTTTTAGATATCCACCATAGAATGTTCCATCACTGTATGTTGGGCTCTGACTTTACTTTTTAAAATACAAGCCTACAGACGATTTTATTTGGAGTTGTACAGAAAAAATATTTAACGATCAACACTTTTGTAAGGCGAACTGTGAAAAATTCCTTTAAAGAAGTAGCTGAGCTCAAGGTAGAGGTGATACTAAGCTCATGGCAACTCTAATTTTTATTGTTTGAAGAAGAAATACGATGCAAAGTTGTAATTAGGCGTGTGAGGACAGGCACATATTAACGAAGACTTTAAGCGTTGCAATAATCATGACGCTGAAACATGACATGTTGCACCGTTGAATATGGTGTGGTAAGATTTACACCAAATTAGGGTGTCAAAACAATGCTGATGCAATAGTTTTTGCGTGAATGACAATGCTCTTACCAAAATTTTGCTGGTGTTGCGTAGAATAATTTTAATAACTGAACCAGATGGAATGATCTTGGAAGTATTTTAGGTTTGTCAGGAAAGCCTCACGGAAAAACCCGGAAATTCGTTCATAAAATCATCACTGCAACTGTCCGTAGCTTTTTACATTGTTATTGAACATCAAGGCGTGGTCCGCAATGATAAGAGCTGAAAACAAAAACGGTGGAAATGCAAGTCGAGAATAAAATAAAAAAGTGTGAAAACAGTGCCCCATCTAAGAAGAATAGTCCCGACATAGGCAACGAAAAATGAAAGCGATAAGTTTTAAAACGTGAAACAGACCTCATTGAACGTTTTTGCCAGAACGATTTCCAGTTATTTGCAACAGCGCTAAAATGTTGTAGTGGGGTCGATGACAACTTGCTCAACTTTGTCGCAGTCAATGCAACGGGTATCTTTTACAGTTCATGTTATCAGAGAAGTTGTTGAGCTTTTGGCAATACGCCTGACCAATACACCTCTTCAGCGCAACAACTGAGAATATAGGCTTTTCATTCTTTGGCCACAGGAGCATGAAAATGCGTAGAAACTGATAACCCTATTTCTTAATAAAGTTAAACTTCCCTTTGAATAGCCCCAAGGTGAAGATGGGAGCGGTCAGATAGAGACAAAGAGTGTAATAGCTTGAACAAACAAGAGAAAATGCCTCAGACAGACTGGCTGATGTTTGAATAGGTAGACCTACCTTTCTCAAAGAGGCCTTGTCATGCCTTCGTATTATATTTAAAAGAGTTACTATGATGACATGTCAACTGGGGAAATGAAAAATTGGAAATGAGAAAAAATAAACTAAAGAGGGGTAACCGGGAAGAAAACCACTGGAGTGGGACACGAAGAACACATTGGAGGGGCGAGAACTTTCACACTTTTCTCATACCACTTTGGCCCCCCCCCCTCCCCAAAGAAACTTTGGCTGAACCCTTCATTACGAGGGTACCTTTGTTTATCGAAGACTACACCAAAAACAGAATGTATCACTCTACTTTATAGTAACCCATCCACTCCTTTATAACCGTTGTGTGTTACACGATTGAAAACGAGAATGATTATAGGCACTATAGGCCTCGTGTGTGGCCACATCGATTTAATAAGCGGTGCCGCCCGCGGCGTGGCGCGCTACTAATTCGTCGAGTGTGAGAGCGGGTGCGTGCAGATAGAAGCACGGTAGCTTGAAAAGACGAATTTGATTCGCGGTGAACCAGGAGTGTCAACGATTATTGATGTGTGAATGGCTTTCCGAACAGCTTCAGAAGCACTGCCAGTAAGCTATTATAAATGAAATTATGTGGTGTAGAGCCAGGTCTTAAGAGACGGACACGTCGTTTCAGTAACAACGTCTACTTTATTCTGACAACCAGAGAGTCGAAACTATAGCAGGTGCACGAGTGCACCGGAAGCGACAAGAGTGGAAGAGACGAAGAAAAAAGAGAGATGAAAGCAGCACGTTACATGGAATGCTGCTCGGCCAGTTTTTATGACCACAGGGTGTGCCGTGGCGGCCACGTCGCTACAGATTGCTCCCCTTTAGAGAGGAAGCTGGTGCGACGAACAATTCTCAGTTGAAGTGTCATCCCAGTGAACACGGCGCCGAGGTTGTGACAGGAGGAACACTGGCGAGGACAGCCCTCGTGTCCAGTGAAGGGAGGCACGGCCGCTCTGCTGAACGCTGGCGTGAGCTTCTCGAGCGCGATTCTATCACGTGTCCCATTGATGTCGACTGTATCATACGCGTGGCACAAGATATGCGCATGAACTGTGTAGAGATGTACCTGATACGCGCGCATTCAGCGCATATAACCAGCTGACGTTCAATAAACCGGGTTCTTTTTCCCACCGGCTGCCAGGCGTATCATGTCATCGATACGTTGTGTCAGAAGTGCCGCGCACCCATCGCCGTGCACGTAGGCGCCCACGGCGCGCTGAGCAGTCGGGATAGAATTTGTTCGACCGCCAAATGCAGTAAGCTTCACAGGAGACATAGGCAAGAGCTGGCCACTGTTCAAGCAGAAATTTAAGCTCTTCTTGACGGCTACAGAACCTTCCAGACAACGACGACCAGAGCAGACGAAGACTGCGTTGCTGCTGACAACTGCAGGCGAAGAAGCCACAGAGGTAATAATTACCTTCGTTTTTTCGAAAGGCGAAAGCAACACCGATTACGCTATGGTAGTCAAAAAGTATGACGGGTACTGTGAGAGGTATATAAACGCTACTTGTTCAGAAAACGAATGCAAGATCCAGGAGAACCCTTTGAGCACTTCGTGCGAGACGTGAAGACACAAGCTCGTCTGTGTAACTTTGAAAACTTGACTCCATGATCCGCAATCAGATTGTGTTTGGAATACAAAACGAGAAACTACGAGAGAAGCTGCTAAAGAGCACGAATCTCACGCTACTTAAAGTGGAACAGACTTGCAAGGCAGCAGAAGCAACAGCAGCCCAGCAAGAAACGTGGCTACGGGACCATCAAGTGGATCCAATTTGGAATTTCCCAGCGCCAGGAAGGCAGCACCAAGAACCGAGACAAGGAAAGAGCAACGCCAGGAAGCCACCAGACTACATATGTCACAGATGCGCGTGAACACATGCGCCAAGAAAGTGTCCTGCGTTCGGGCGTGCTTGTTACAGCTGCCAGTGGAAGAACCACGTGCAATTTGTTCCAAAGTAGGGAGTCAAGTCAACGAGCTCGCTGGCGATGAAGAATGTTTTGATGTGCTGAATGTATCCTTGAGAAGCAAGGTCAGCGGCCATGACTGGTTTGTTCGCGCGAACGTTGCTCACGTATCAGTGAGCTTTAAAGTCGATACTGGCTCGCAAACAAACATAATTCTCTTGAGTTTATTCGCCAAGATGCAGCCGAAACCACTGTTAAAGTCCAACTGCTCAGTTCTACGCTCGTACGGCGGCAATGAAATCAAACACTGCGGCAGCATAACAGGTGATGTGACACCGAACAGACACACCGCAGTCCTTCAATTTTTTTGTAGTACGTAAAGGTCAAGCAATCTTGGGACTGCAAGCATGTGAATGCCTTCGGATGATTTCATGCCCAGTGCACCGCGTAAAAAATAGCACAGCGGAAGGCGTAGCGGAGGATTTTTGGCGCCTTTTCAGTGGCACGGTATGCGTCAAGCGCCATTACCACATGGTACTCCGCGACGACGCAGTTCCGGTGGTCCAAGCAGCACGGCGGATTCCACGAGCCTTGCCAGAACCACTGCCTGAAGAACTGGAGCGTATGGAACGAGGCGGCATCATTGCAAGGGTGACAGAGCCTACGAATTGGGTGAGTCCTCTCATGATAGTGCGTAAAATGGATGGAAAGCTCCAAGTGTACATAGATCTGAGGAAGATTGACCAATGCATAAAAAGGGAGCACTATCAAATGCCGACGTGAGAGGACATAAAAGCGGAACTAGCCGGCGCAAAAGTGTTCACCCGGCTTGATGCTAATGTTGGTTTCCACCAGATACCATTGGATGAAGGAACTTCAAAAGTTTGCACGTTTGCAACGCCTTTTGGTCGATACTGCTTCTTGAGGCTACCGTTCGGCATTTCTTCAGCACCAGAGGTGTTCCAAAAAGCTTTGAATGAAGTGTTTGAGAATCTGCCAGGGGTAAAGGCATACGTTGACGACGTGATAATCGGGGGATTTAATGAATGAGCATGATCAACGACTCAAGTCTGCCTTACAAGCAGCAGGACGAGCTGGACTAACTTTTAATGCGAATAAGTGTGCGGTGCGTGTAAAAGAAATAGAATTCTTAGGTGACGTAATTAGTCATGAGGGCATCAGACCCAATCCTAATCAGGTGAAGTGTATGACTTAAACGCCAGAACCAAAGGACAAGCATGCGGTTCACAGGACGCTGGGTGTCGCAAACTATTTCAGCAAGTTCTTGCCATCCTTGGCTCAGAAAACGGTACTCCTCCGGAGCTTATTAAAGCAGGACACAGATTTTGAATGGACTAATGACCACGCCAAAAAATGGCAGATTCTATGTGATAGCATGTGTCACCAGCTCTTGCTATCACTTTTCTATGCAAAAAAGAAACAAAAGTTTCATGTGATGCGTCGCAAAACGGGGTAGGTGCTGCCTTGCTACAGTGTGAAAATGGCACGTGGAAGCCTGTGGCATACGTGTCTAAATCACTCACCGAATCCGAACAAAGGTATT